CGTAACCACTATCTTTAATTGGCCCAGGTTTGGTCAGTGGCATGTCCATCATCCTCAGAGCCAACAGCAATTGGCTCTGCTGGACATGGTGGAAGCCTCCAGAAGCTTCTCACAGGCGCCATCTTTTTGGGCCCCCACTTCCAAAAACTGGGCCAAGCAAAACCAACACACAAGCATAACCAGTTTCATGTATTTTCTTTATTATTTTCTTTATTATAAAAATTTGTTTTCATATTTATTTTTATTTGCCAACCTCAATAGCTACATCTCTTCAAAGTCAACAAGACGAGGCTCAGCAATGTTTTTGGGAGCTCCACGGTGCTGCAGGTATCTTCAACACCCCCTGATCTCCCTCCAGCAGGAATTCCGTGGGAATGGGAACCAACATTTACAACCTTGCAACATCATTCCCCAAAGGCTGCCTGACTCATGCTCATTTCAAAGAGTTTCCAGCTCAAGGGAAAATTGCAAAATGTAGACGATTGTTGTAAAGGACTCTGTTAACAATGTCGTTGCACAGCCAAAGACAATTATTTTTCTTGTAGAATATTACAGTTATTTACCGTTTTCTATGTTTCTATATTTCTATATTTTCTATATTTCTATATTTATTTCTATATTTCTATATTTCTCTATTTCTCATTTTCTGTGGCAAAGAAGGAAAATGCTCCGAAACTTTCAGTCCATGTTAATTTTTTTCTGTTTCTGAATGAAGAAAAGTTTGTGATCATCAGCTTCAGTGTCTCCCACCACTCTGCTGCCGTGTCGTGGTGTCGTGGGTTCATTTCTTTTTATTTTCCCTTTTTTTTTAACAGTATAAAATACATGATGTTCTTCTATTTCTTAATATGAATAATCTTTCCTGAATGGAACTACATCACAATTCAAGTGCCACTAAAAGAAAGGTTAGATTCTCTACGTACAACTCCAGTGGAAAAGCTTTTTTATAAATTACTTTATTGTTTCCCAGGCCTTGGAGAGCGCCGTGGTGGATGGCAATGAGTGTGACTCATCTGGCTGTAGAGCTGGAAGTGTAATATTAAAGAAAATAAATAACAAGGCTGCAAAGAGCATTAAATGAGGAAATGAGGCATGGATGCGTGAGACAGGGGTTAGTCTACTGCATGGAAGTCGGTGCCACTTAATTACTTGGGAAACTGAGCTTGGTGAGCAAAGTGCAAGATCAGGAATGATCTAGAAGCACACCAGGATATGCTTGGCTTCTCAAATGGAGGAACTTTCCTTCCTGCCTGCAGTACGTGGAGGAATAGCTTGAAAATCCCCGTCTCGAAAAGAAATGCGTTAGAATTGTTGAAAAAGAGATTCATACTGCCTTTTTTATTAATTGATGTTACTGGTTTTTAATAGATCTGCTGTTATAAGGAGGGTTTTGCATTGGTCATAAACAGCTCATTTCATTTTCAGAAATCATGGGCTTTATTATCAAAAAAAGAAAAAGAAAAAAATTACCCCAAATCATGCCTTTAGTTTAAGATTTTGYTATGCAAACCTGGAAGTGTAATGTGAGGTTTTTTTGCATGAAAAGCTGATCTGAGAGCCACCAATGGAAACAGGGCAATGCCCACTGTCACTCATTTTAGCAGGATTAACTGTCACTCACTTTTTAGCACTCACTTTAGCACCACCATCCTCATTTTAACCCCAAATTTTTTGAGGATTCATTACTCTTAATGCACTCTTTTATTTGAATTTCTCCCTCAGCAAGTATTCATCAAACACAGAAAATATCCTTTCGTATGTTTAGTGAGAAAAAAGATCTGTCTCATGAGGGATAAACAAAACTGACAGAAATCTACGTGCACAAGTCAAACTGATCCAAATATCCTGACATTTGAGAGTTGCAGTTTGTCTCTTCYAACAAAAGATGGCACTGCTCAATTTTCTTCAAAATTAATGTCCATTCATTGAAATTAAATGCTCCTTAAAAAGTTCCCTTGTCTCTGGCTAGAACCTGCACACTGAGATCAGGATTTGTTGTTAATATGTAATAAATTAGCTTTAGATGTTTTTAAAAATATGAACTTTTCCACGAGAAGTCTCAAGYGGAAAAAACTAAGTGCCAATAATTCACAAAATACTCCTGCAACTTATTGAAGTTCAGTTTGGAGTCAATAATTATTTTATTGGAAGCAGTTTTAGCAGAAAAGGAAGAGTCAGATTTTGTTCCAACCATGAGAAATCATTCAGAGCACAGTAAAACTCCCAAAAAGGTTCTGATGGGCATCACTTTGAATGGGACCAGCAGCAATAGGTGGGAAACCTAAAAAAAAAAAAAAAAGAAAAAAAGAAATATGACCAAAGTGAAATCTGTAATTCAAACAAGATTGTGGAAATTTATRATAATGGCTTTATAGCAATTCAAACAATGAAACAATTCAATTTCAGAAGGGCAATAATGAATTTTTTATTGGCAGGAGGAGTCCCTAGCTCTTATATGTAGCTCACTAGGTCAGTGTTAGCAGCAAATAGGACAATGATGCATTGATAAAAACTCATCATTATCCTCATTGGGTMGAGAGAAAATGGTGTTTTTACAGGTCTAGGCACATTTTCACAGCAAGAAATCACCTTACCTCATTAAAAATACATTAGTGCTTTGTTTATCTGCTCAGAAAGAAGGGGTTTAATGAGATTCATTTTAAATTACTGTTTTGAGAGAAACAACTTATTAGATAGCACACACATATTTCAGCATATGTGCAGTAAATTAAAAAAAAAAAAACTTCAACCAAAGGTAAAAAACACACAAGAAACAGAAATCACTGCCTTGTGGCTCTTATTTTTCATTGTGCAAGTAGACCTTGTTCCAATATGTCAGTCTTGGAGCTGGGAATTTCTCCAAATGTGTGCACTTCAAGAAATTTGACTTTTTTACCCCATATTTTTTAGCTTGTCTTGTGCTCCACACTGAATTCTCTAACTTTCTCCCAGCCCTGTCCCGGAGCTCTTTGCCCTTCTTGTGACTTAAAAATGCATTTGGTTCTTCATGAGAGGGATGTGATTTTTCCTGGTGTGCTGCTCTTTTGTGATTCTGCATCAGCAAGTGAAATGGTASAGCAATTTTATGAGATTTGTGCAGATGTCTTCTCAAAAGTTTGCATTCTTTCACAAATGGCATCACCACAATATGCAGC